GCACTATTTTAAGGTCTCTTTCAATTTTTTTTTCATCATCCTAAATGTATGCAATTTTTGAAATACTTTGGTATATGATTGAAATGTAATTTTAATAATGTAACAGATTGTGTTTTAAAGCAGAATTTTCACTCGTTCAAGGAAAAATCGCTACATTACGAACTATTGGTTTGACGCAACTTCTGTTCTACGTAACTGTGAATAAAAGAAATACTTCTCTTAAGAAAATTATTAATTTTTGAGTGTTATAAGTAACGATTTACAATACATGTAATGCCGTCCCGTTTAAAAAAGTTTTAATATCAAGATTTGTTTTAATAAAATTTTGGATACATTCTTAAGTAGTCCATAAACTTTTATTATTTTAAACTCTTTTTAAAATATTTTTATAACACAAATAGCAGACAACTTGAATTTCAAAATTATGTTGTATGCAATAGCAATTTATGCAATAACGTACACACTAAAAATTTTAGCGAGTGAATTCCAACTAGACAAATTCTAGTGACGAAATTCACGTGAATTCAAGGAAAATTTATTAGTTTTCTTGTAATTTCAATTTTTTGAATTAGAAATCTAGTATTTTACAACTAGATGCTCTAGGAAATTTATTTTGCCATAGAATTCTGGTAAACAACAATTACTGTCTAGTAATATAGAAAAACAGGAAATAGAATAGAAGTAATTTTTACTTGAAAACTCTATAAATAAATAGATTCCATTAATGCATTTGAAGCATGTCAGATGGCTAGTAAAATTAATCAGAATAAAGAGAAAAATAATAGATTCCATTTACATACAGAATAACTAGAAATCTAGGGAATTTTGAACGAATCTAGGTGAAAAGAACGGAATCCGATTTTATACTTTCCAGTTTGCAATTTTGCAAAAATGCGAAATAGAATAGAATTAATTTTTACTGGAAAACTATGAAAATCAATAGATTCCATTAATGCATTTGAAGCATGTCAGATGGCTAGTAAAATTAATCAGAATAAAGAGAAAAATAATAGATTCCATTTACATACAGAATAACTAGAAATCTAGGGAATTTTGAACGAATCTAGGTGAAAAGAACGGAATCCGATTTTATACTTTCCAGTTTGCAATTTTGCAAAAATGCGAAATAGAATAGAATTAATTTTTACTGGAAAACTGTGAAAATCAATAGATTCCATTAATGCATTTGAAGCATGTGAGATGTCTAGCAAAATTAAATAGAATAAAGAGAAAAATAATAGATTCCATTCACGTACAGAATAACTAGGAATCTAGGGAGTTTTGGACGAATCTGGGCGAAAAGAACGGAATCTGATTTTATAATTTCCAGTTTGCAATTTTACAAAAATGCGAAATAGAATAGAAGCAATTTTTACTGGAAAACTATGAAAATCAATAGATTCCATTAATGCATTTGAAGCATGTCAGATGGCTAGTAAAATTAATCAGAATAAAGAGAAAAATAATAGATTCCATTTACATACAGAATAACTAGAAATCTAGGGAATTTTGAACGAATCTAGGTGAAAAGAACGGAATCCGATTTTATACTTTCCAGTTTGCAATTTTGCAAAAATGCGAAATAGAATAGAATTAATTTTTACTGGAAAACTGTGAAAATCAATAGATTCCATTAATGCATTTGAAGCATGTGAGATGTCTAGCAAAATTAAATAGAATAAAGAGAAAAATAATAGATTCCATTCACGTACAGAATAACTAGGAATCTAGGGAGCTTTGAGGGAGAATCTGGGCTAAAAATACAGAATTTGGATTTACACTTTCGAGTTGACATGTTTTCAGAAACGGGGAATAGAATATACTAGTAATTTTTGCTAGAAAACTACAAAGATAAATAGATTCCACTAATGCTCTTAAAGCATGTGAGACATCTAGCAAAATTAAATGGAATAAACAGAATAATAATAGACTCCATCCACGGACAGGATAACTTGACATCTAGAGAATTTTAGTCGAATCTGGATGAAAAAGACGGAGTTCGGTTTCGTGCTTTCGATTTTTTAGCGGTTGTCCGGAGATCTAGTAAATTTAAAAGGAATCTAAACAAAACAAACCGAACTATATACTATATATTACGCATACAAAGAAACCATGCAGCATCGAAAAAAATAACACGTGGTTTTTTAAACTTTGCCTTGTAATTGACCCAATGAGCTAACTTTTAGCAAAAGTTATAAGCTCATTGGGTAAAATAAATTGTTTTGATAAAATTATAAATAGAATAATACACATTAATTAGAATTAAAATTTGATAGTACTTAGAAATATGCATGCAACTACAAAATTATTTTAAATTACATTGCAATTTCCTCTGTCCTTTTTTGATTTTTGTACGTCTTTTGGTTTTGTTTTCAATATTTTGTTAAAAATCGCGGCTTTGTACAAAAAAGATAACTTTGTCAAAAATTGCTACACATATGATTCAATTTTGCGTTTCGTAAAAACTGACATTTGTAAAAAAAATCTGTTATTACTATTGTGAAATAGCTATAGAACTATTTCTTAAACATAATAATTCATACTTTATTCATAATTAATACTTTCTTCGTTCAAATACATATTACTATAAATAGTAACTTAAAATGAACATCGAAACCCTTTTTGTCTTACTATGTTTTTTAAAGTCAAATAAAAGATTCAAACTAGTAAATGCGTCAAAATTTAGTAAAATAGAATTTAGTATAAAATCTATGACTTTTCTGAAAATTTAACAAGTCTTAACATTACATTTAAATTATTTCTTGCTTCATTACATTATTGCAAAAAAAGTTTAAATATGAAGATTATAGTTTTAAGAAATTTTGAGAAGAATGTAATATTAAATCACAAAAACAGGCTAATAGATTGGGAGATTATTAGTCGAAGCTTCATAAGGACTGAGGACTTGTTATATTTTGAACACGATATGGACGTACATATGAACGTATATAAATACATAATATTTGTGATATTATAAATGATAACTATATAAGTCTAACTAAGAAAACTAAGAAAATATACTTATGTATATGAAAATTTTAAATTTTTGGCATTACTATTACAGCTACTTTTCATTTTAACTTTCCAAAACCAATGAAATGTGGTCACACTATTCTAATTATTCTATTTCTACATTTGTTTACGTATGGCTTTACGCTTTTTTAAAAGTGTGACCACGTGTACATTTTTTAAATTATAAATTTTACATGGAAAACTAAAAATTTCAACATTACAAAAGATTTAAATTTTCAAATTTGATTTATGTACATAAACTTTTAGTTAATAGTACGTGTATGTGATGCATTTTTATGTATATTTTACTTATGCATGTATACATAAAAATTTATACATTTTATATAAGTAATTCAAAAATTTAAACATAATATAATAAAAAATTTTTTTGAAATCTTATTATAATAATTAATTGAATATCAACTTCAGTGCATTTATACTTATTATTTATTCCCTCATACTTCGGTGCATTTATATTTGTACAAATTTAAAAATGTACAATATTTAGCTTTTAGCAAAGCTAAGTGAACAAGCACATTTGTTACCCACTAATTTAAATAAGATATTTTTGGCAATTTTTAAAAAGAAAAATGCTTAGAATATGTTTATTATTTTAGTTTTATGGTACATATTCCAGATATAAAAACATAAATTCATATAATAAAATAGTTGGGCCAGTAATTATTAACTTAGATTTGCAAAAAAATAGGTATGCTATTAATATTTTAATAATAGATTAACAAATAATATACTATTATCGTGATATGGTCACACTTTGCGCAACATGTAACAGCATGTTGAAATATTTTTCACATAAACAATACGCGCATAAAATGTACATATACAATTCTACATTATTACAATAATTAGGTAGCCATGAAATCAAAATTCAACAAAATGTATAAAATTTGTACATATACATACATACATAGTTCTGTATATTGTATTTAAAATATTTGGTTTAAATTTTACAGTTATTTAAGAACATGCTAAAAAAACAATGAACAGAAAAGTAAAATTTTTTTGATTTTCGTTTCATTTTTTTTTAAGTCCAGACGTACATATGTATGTATACCAAATAAAAAAAGTTTGATGGTGAAAAGAATAACGCAATAAAGCGTCTAAAGAAGAACATTTGATTTTTTTCAAATCTTTTCCTTTTAAAATTTATAAATATACGAGTACAAAGCTTCATATTTTTGTTAACATTTTTATGCCAAATGAGTTGCAAATTTTTTTTAACCATTTATTAAATCCCAGGTATTTTCATTAAGCAATGTTCAAAAGATTTTTCTTAAATATTTATTTTCAGAAAGGTTTCTCAATTTTACTCCTTTGTTATTTAATATTTTCTTAAATCTAAAGAAATTTTCAATTTATTTTGCTTAATAATGTATATACGAGTAATAATTCTTTGGATTTTATTTGTTGCATTACTCCTTGCACCACCAAGTTTTTTTTGCGCCTTAATATTATTTAAACGTATACAGCATACTAATATTAGCATAAATATAAACTTAACATATACATACATGTATATTTAAACTACAAATCTAGTAATATTTTCTAAAAAATAGTAAATATCAATAGACTTCTTGCAAATTTTAATATTTTTTAGGAGGTTCTAGCATAATTAAATGAGAAATAGTAAAATACACCAGATTTCAGTATAAATTTCAGCAAAATCGGCGAGATTTTTAAAAAATATTGAATAACGTGGCAGTATTGAACGGAACTTCGAAGAGTGAACTTTAATTGTGAGTTTAGTTAGTTGCAGTTAATGTAAATCAAAAATTAGCAACAATAAAAATAACGCAAAAAAATTAAAAAATAGTGCAAACAAATTAAAACAAATGTAAATAAATTATAAAACAATTTCAAAAGAAATAAAGAAAATTGTTACAAAAATTAAAAAACATATTTTAGAGGTACATATGTATATACATCAAAGCATATATAAATACATACATACGAGTATATGCATGCTGTTTATCCGCATAAAGCATAAATATTTTATTTTTTGTAATTTTAAGGTTTGTAATTCTCAAAATATGGACGTTGGGGCTTCTTTTGTCTGTTTGGTGGAAAAAGGTATTAATAAGGATGTTGCAGAAATTTTGAGAAGTAAGCAAAATATTATTTTTAAAAAATATTAATTATTTTTTATCTTTTTTTTATTTTAACTGTAATTTTTCCGCGTCATTTTACGTACGCCCTAATCGACGTTTATATGTATGCGTGTAATTTTTTTTTTTTATTTTAAATTTAGATTGCAAAACTGAAAACATTGATTCCTCCAGAACAAAACTTCAATCGTATAAAATATTTAATGAACGAGACATTTTAAAATCGTAGATTTGAAGTTGGATATTTAAACATATTGGATACTTACCTAACATTTCTTTCCTACAAGGGCACAATTGTAAAAATCGCAAACTAATTTATGAGTGCTTTTTAAAAGTTGCTTTTAATTTCTAGATTGAAAATGGATTGGAGCTCTTAAAAGGTAAAAGATTTAACATTCAAGTATTGGAAAACCTTAACTTAGAACCATTTTATAGGAAGGAAACAGAATTTCTCCAATATGGTGAGTTTCGATATAAATTTAGCTAAAAAACTCAATTAACTTATTATTTTTCAATTTTTTAAGAATCTTGCTGCCAAGAAGAAATTTGAAAAAAAACTAATGTTTTGATTGCGATAAATTTAGATGATTGGGAAAAACTTGTTGCAGAGGAAGATTTAATATCCCTCGTTTTAGAAATTTATGTGAGATATAAGAACTGCTTTGTCCTTTTTTAGATTTTTTTTTTTTTAATTTAAGTAATATATTTGTTTACAGATTAATGCTAATATAGAAAATGTTTTAGATAACGATGTACTGAACGATTTACAGATGTACTGAAAAATTTTCCCGCCTGACTGAAAACATTTATTTAGTAATTGACGGAAAAATTATGGAGTGCGCAAACGATTTTCTTACAGTAAACATTTTCTTTTTCTTGTAATTGAAAATTTGATAAAAAAATTTTGAAGTTGTTAAATTTTTTCGAAGTTTATATATGTATACAAAAAGAAAAATGTAAAATGGTACTGTTTCGGTGTTATATTAAAAAATTATCAATTAATGTTAAGTATTTAGTGTTTGGTTATATTATAAAATTTTTATAATTTTATGTATGTAAATGTTGCAAAATGATATAGATGACAAATCATTTAAATACACCTTATAATAATATTATAACAAATACACAGAAATGTACCACTCTTTACATATTTTATCTTTAAGAAGTAGGAATGTTAATTATTTATTATTTCTTTTCTTTTTTGAAAAATATTATACCTGATTATGTATGTAGATAAATATGAATACTAATACTAAAAATGTATTATGACCAAATAATTATATATTTTTTATTATTGGTTAAATTTAGAAGTGCTGTAGCACGTTTCATATTCTTTTTCTATAAATAATCCTACTAAATAAAACAGTTTGTTTATGAAAAGATATACACGTATGCGTACCATTGATTTCTAATTTTTTGAATTAACTTAAGTGTGCAACATGTAATACTGATATCACAACTTCAAAAATAAAAAAATGTATTTAAAATATATGCTATGTTAAATTTAAATGAAAAAACGTAAGAACATTATCATAAAACATTTTGTCAAACGCTATAAAAGTTAAAAATAAAAACCATAATTTGTTATGTAAGACACAAAAATTGTTATTTTTCTATAAAATGTCATTTATATTGCTTGAAATTTTTTGTGATGAGTTTCCTAAAATAACTTTAAAAATTTGTTATGAAATTAGAAATATTACAACTACAAAAGTTTTAACATTAGAATTTTCGAAAATTTTGGTTTAGCCAAACCGTAGTTAGGTAGGATATAAATCTGCTTAATATATCTATCCAATGCCATAGGATAGATGTATTTCACAGATTTTCTATAATTATCCTATAGAAATTGACCATCTTTTTTAATTAGAAATCTGTTCCTAATTACTAGAAACAGGTTATTTCAAAAACTGGAAATCCAAAGTTTCTCTTCAGGAAATCTATTTGAAAAAACTAGAACTATGATGAAAAATGAAATAGTTGTCTAGTTTTATTTAATAGTAATATATTGACATTTACTGGAAAGTGATTACTATTGTTATGGAAATTCTAGTCTTTATTATGGAAAATCTAGTTAAACTGCCAAGAATACCGTAAGAAATCTAAAAGATTTTCTTGCTTATTTCACTAGGCATTTTCTTAATTTCTCTAGTAATCCTCTTATTTTCACTAGAAGGTAGTCTCTCAAATTGTTGGGAATTCTAGCATTTATCATTGGAAGTCAGGTAAAACAAGCAAGTGGTTCTAGAAAAAATTAATGTGCTTTCTAGTTTTTTTTATCACTGTAACTCTGTGTGTTTTCACTAGAAATCAGGTAACTCTCATAATGAAAATTCTGGTAATTTTTCACAGGGAATCTAATTAAGTTATCTAGAATACCGCAAAAAAATTGAACCGATTTTCCAGCGTTTTTTATCAATATACTGTTTTTTTTCACTAGAAACTGGTTACTTAAAATACTGTTAATTCTAGTGTGCTTCATTGAAAATGCAGTTAAGTTATATGAAATACTAGTGAAAATAAAGAGATTTTCTACTAGAAATAGTTTTCGGATTCTTATTAAACGTAGTTGTCCAGATAACTAGAACTCTAGCTTTTTGAATGGCAATTCTAATTAAACCTACTAGAATATCAGTGAAATATTAAACTAGACAATCTATTGATTTTTTTTTCACTAGAAAAATCTAGGAGCGCAACTCTAGTTGTATTTTACTTGAATCTAGTTGAAAAAAATTTAGTGTGTAGCAATGTTGTATGTATAAAATAATTTTGTAGTTATTTAATTTGGCCTCTTTGAAAAGAAAAATTCAAGTTGCATCCCTCTAAAATTTTATCTCAAAAATTACATAACTAATATTTATAATACTAGTTAAGGAATTCCCATGTTCCCAAAATGGAAAAAAACTTCAATATTTAAAATTTTCACAAAAATAGAAACATCAAGCTTTGGTCCACATATCAATTATAATTTTTAACCGTCTAATAACAAAGAACTGGTTACTTTGTTATTAGACGGTGAAATATCTAAAATCACTGCATACAAAAGAAATTAGCGAAAAAAATTTTTCGCTTTAGAATCCTTGTGTGCTAAATTGCTTATGTGAAGAGCCTATTGCGGACAATCTTTTTTCTAAATCTATACTAAACACTGCAAGTAAAAGATGTTCGCATAAAGTATTTTAACACATAATGTTACGCAGAGCCATTAATAAATAGGAATAAACACCAAACCAATAAAAACCATCTTTTGTAAACATATCTTCAAAATTGAAATTTTATCCGCAATTGTCATGTCACAGTAACACAAGCGGAATTCAACTAATTAATTTATTATTTGATTTTCATATTTTAGACTCTTTAAAGAATTCTTATTTATTTATAAGAACTTTAAGTTACCTCTAGCCAAAAAATTTTATTCAAAGTTCTATTAATTTCTAATTGTTATTCTTTCAATATTTCCAAAAATTACGAAGAATTTATTTCATTCAATTTTACTAACAGCAGTAAAAAAAATATAAGCAACCATTTATTTTTTTCCCCAATTTATATTTTTACTTTCTGAAATTCAATCAAGAATATAGTAATGATGAAAATATTTATTATTTTTTATAATATTCCCATTATTATTTTATTTAAAATGCAAAAAAAAAAGTAAACAAACAAACAAAATAAAAAAATAAAAAGAGTCAAAAATCTAGGTTGAAAATCCTTCCTTTAAATACCATTCAATTAGTCAACTTTTTTTTTTCATTAATAACTAGCAACACAAACAATAAACCGAAACAAAGAATCCATATTTCTATTTCTGTAAATAAAAGAGGTCCTTTACGTGCCCCAATCCTACACACCCCTTTGTCAACAACTTTTATTTTCAATTTTCGAAACAACAATAAAAACAAACTAATAGTCGCGTGTATATGTATGTACAACTATATTTATAGATCAATTTATTGTGAAACCGCAGAAAACAAAAATCGTTCATAACTGAAAATGCTGAATGAAAAATAAAAAGGAAAAATTATTTAAACACGACGACGGCGACACAAAAAAAGAAAATTTTTATTTTCTTTTGCTTTTTGTCAGTACCTGAGCTTGTTTTTTTTTCTAAATTAAATTTTTATTGGAACTTTTAGTGCTAGTATAACATAAAATATAAGTATAGAAAATACCGTTATAAAAAAAAAAGAAATTAACAAACAGAACCTCAACAGCAGTAAAAGTTAAAAAAAAACACAAAAAGGGTAAAATGGGGAAAAAAAAAACATTTACCTTTCCACTAAATCGTAAATAATAAGGTCGCCTTGCGTTCAATTTCTTTTTAATGCATGTATACGTAATGCCAAGCTAGAGGGGGCCAGTAATTCGAATTCTGAAAAAGGAGAAAATTTATAATAATAATAGACTTACAATTTATTTATGCACAAACTATAAACATTTTCTATTGAATTTATTTTTAAACATTTTCACGCTTTTTTGTTTTCCAATTTTTTTTTCACTATTTTTTAGTGATATTAGCGTAAATTTTATGGGGTGTAAACAAAGTGATAATGATTTATTAGGAAAAACAAAGTATAGCTAGGCAGATATTTTATGAAACAAAAGTATGTATATTAAATTTAAATATAATCATTGTATGTATGTATGTATTTATTTGCATATTATAGTTCTTTTTTTTTGTTTTGTATGTACTCGTATGTATTCAAATTCCTAAATTATTTGAACAATATTTTAATAATTATAACATGAAACGTGTTCAAAATGGGATATAATTCGTCTACTGCGTATATCAAAGTTTTTTGATTTAGGAAATCGCCACAACAATTTATTTATTTATTCACTCATTAAAAAGGACGATGAAAAGCTACTTCGATTACAGTAAATAGAATGTAGCATTAAATAATAATATTAAATTAAGCTCCGGTTGTGTCATTCTTATATTCTACATTTAAATAAAACAGTGTTATTTTAACAAAATGAGTCATTTTTTATGTATAACAAAATAATTGGGAGGTGCTCCTAAACTTTCTAAATTCTTGGCTTCTTAAATTTACAATTTAAGAAAAATAGTTCGGTTCATGATTAGGATTAACGTGTCATTTTGTGATAGTAAGATTTGCCTGTGACGTATTACGCTAGAAGAAGCAAGCTCCCAGCGTTAGCATTTTTTTTAAAAATTGTTTTTAAAAATTGCGTTAGCATTTTTTTATTGGGTTTAGGCATTTTGAAAATATCTAGGTTAAGCATTTTATAAGTTCCACTAGTATATACCAGTTACAAAATTTTTTGCAAATACCAAGTCCTAAAATCGGTAAGTGAAGGATATTTCACAATTTTTCTAAATAAATGTTTTTATTTTGAAATATCTAATTTTTATTTCAATGAAAAAGATTTAAATAGGTAATGAAAATTTAATGGCGTGACTAAAACCGATAACTTTAATGGCAAGTGTCGCACACAATAA